CACTGTTGCGCTGTGACGCGCCTGGCATACATCTACCTAGGCCTGCGGCGCTGACACCCGAGTCGGGTATCGCAAATATGAACACAAAGATACGGGCCTCCGGCCCGTCATTCTCCCGTCACTTCGACTATACATGCAGGGTTGTACATTTTTTCACTTATTTTCGTCAAAAACTCCATGTGGTGCCTAAACGGTTAATGATAGAGCGAAACGGACGAAATTTTCGCCCAAGGGGCTCTACTTTGATGAGTTACCCCTTAGAAAACATTAAAAAAATATTTTCAAAAAACATCATTATGGGGACCTGTGGTTTTCGATTTTTTGAAAATCCAATTTTAGAGCTAGAATGCTCTTCTTCGAACTCGATCTCTCTTTTTATTATGATACAAAACGACCCTGAAAATCCCAGGTCGCTAGCTGAATTCGTTCTCGAGTTATCGTGCGTACAGACAAACAAACACACACACAGACAGACAAACAGACGCGAGACTTTTTGATCATCACTGGAGTAATAGGCTTCGCTATCGCTCAGCCAACAAACAAACAGAATGAAACTTTTCCGGTCAGTGGAGTAATGGGCTTCGCTAATCGCTCAGCCAAAAATGAGGGTACCACTGGATTCGTCTTGATGAGTACTATCCATTTCAGGTGTCGGATGAATTTTTACCGGCAGCATTGGGGCCGAAATGGCGAATTAACCCCCAGAAAGGTGAAATTTGGTGAAAAACCGCTGCCAACAACCGAATCTTGCCGGTAAAAATTGAAATGAGGTTACCGCTGGATTCGTCTTGATGAGTACTATCAATTTTAGGTGTCGGACGAATTTTTACCGGCAGCATTGGGGCCTAAATGGCTAATAAATCCCAGAGAGGTGAAATTTGGTGAAAAACCGCTGCCAACAACCGAATCTTGCCGGTAAAAATTGAAATAAGGGTACCGCTGGATTCGTCTTGATGAGTACTATCAATATTAGGTGTCGGATGAATTTTTACCGGCAGCATTAGGGCCTAAATGGCGAATAGACCCCCAGAAAGGTGAAATTTGGTGAAAAACCGCTGCCAACAACCGAATCTTGCCGGTAAAAATTGAAATGAGGTTAATTCTGGATTCGTCTTGATGAGTACTATCCATTTCACATGTCGGATGAATTTTTACCGGCAGCATTGGGGCCTGAATGGCTAATAAATCCCAGAAAGGTGAAATTTGGTGAAAAACCGCTGCAAACAACCGAATCTTGCCGGTAAAAATTGAAATGAGGTTACTTCTGGATTCGTTTTGATGAGTACTATCCATTTCAGGTGTCGGACGAATTTTTACCGGCAAGATTCGGTTGTTGGCACCGGTTTTTCACCAAATTTCACCTTTTATGGGATTTATTGGCTGATTGGCTGAGCGATAGCGAAGCCTATTACTCCAGTGATGATCAAAAAGTTTCGCGTCTGTCTGTTTGTTTGTTTGTCTGTCTGTCTGTAAGCACGATAACTCGAGAACGGTTTGAGCTAGAAGGCTCAAATTTTTATTGTAACTTTGTATCATAAAAAGCAAGAACTGTATTGATTTTGAGCCATCTAGCTTAAAAATTGACCTGTCAATA